CAAAACAACAGAGATAACATAGATGCTTCAAGGTAGACTCCGCAATAAAGTTGGAGATTAAACGCAAAATAGGTGCGACCAGTACCAAGTGGGGATCCTATCATTACCATCATTTCCTCACCCCTTCTTTAGACATTAGGATGCTACATTACGAAGTGGTACAGAAAGCCAAGTAGTAAAAACATTATGGTTCATTACCTCAACTCTCACCGCCCCACACGAAAAGGGCGCTTGTAAGAAAAATGTTTCGAACATCAACCAACGTGTGCACGGGAAGAGAGCAGGGAGAGGAGTCCCGGAACTTGGCACAGCAAATAACCATTTCTAATGGTTACGAAGCTGTAGCTCGGGATAGGTGTAGAGAAAGTCCTTGGCTTCAAAACGACAACTCTAGCGATAGAAGGGTCCCGTTTATCCTACCCTTCATCTCAAATGATGTAAGTGCTGCTATAAAACGCTGCTTAAGAAGCGCGGGCCTAGAGAATTCGGTAAACGCAGTTGAAATGCCACCGAGTAATCTTAGGCGCCAGAACCAAAATTTCAATCACATTGAGCACAGGGTCTTCGCACACTCACCGCTTTCTATGAGTCTTCTACTAAATATGTCACGTGGAGACCAACCATGTCCAATATGTCCAACCGCACAGAGTTTACACGAAATCGTATTGTGCCCATTTCATCAAAATAACAGGTTTATATATAGCCCAATATCACGCGTGATAATGAAGCACTCCTCCCTACGGTTCATTTCCGGATTCTTGGAATTAATACAGAATGCCTCTAGGGTTTTGTGCGCATGTGTTCTCGATTCTTGCGCGAGGATCGCAACCTTCTACTTCAAAATGTTCTCCGTTATGTCTCTGCGTCCCATGCGCGCCTAGTGGAGTATTTGGCTTACGTTTGCCGACTAGGCGTTCTTTTATACGGTGCCAAAGTGGTTTACCCGTTTCGCCAACGTATTCGTCTCTGCACGCTTTACAAGAGATCAGATAGACTGTACCCGAACTCATGCAGTCACCATTGGGGTAAATTATGCAATTTTGCGTTTCACATAGACGGTCGTATAGGCGGTTACGAACTAGCTCGCGTCTTAGATTGCTCAGTGGCATTTCAGTTATCGTTACCGAATTTTCTAGACTGGCCCTTCTTAAACAGCGTTTTATAGCAGCACTTACTTTATTTGAAATGAACGGCAGTATAAATGGGATCTTATTGTCGCCAGAGTTCTCTTTCGAATTTCTTAATCACTATCGCGCCAGGGGATACTGCTCCAACCTCACTGAAATACAAAAACATGGTATGCGGTAGGTACGAGAGCTGATAAGAACGAAAAGCATAAGACTATCGGTTAGTTAGTGATAAGAGTGGAGGTTTTGTTGTAATTCCTCATCAGTTAGATGTTGAGATAACGGAAAAGCACCCTGAAGATGCCTCCCTTTATCGTCCGTCGTCTGAGAATGAATTTAAAAGTCAATACCGAAAGTTAAACGACGAATGGGTTAAAGTGGCAAGAGCGGCTGGGTTAAAACCTTCAGCTATCTCTCATCTCAAAGTTGGCTTACCAACATGCCCGCCCTGTACCTGCTTATCAAAACCCATAAGTTAGTATCCAGCGATGATCTTGCGTTCACCGATCCATGGTTATTCAAGGTTAGACCTATCATTAGCTGCGTAAACGGGCCAACGGATGGAATAACGTGCTTAACAACCCTAATACTTAGTTGATGAAGTACATTCCAACTCATCTAACGAACACCCAAATGTTCCTGGATCGTCTACTTAACGCGCTACCCTACAACGCGTACGTGGTGGAGTCCGACGTCACTGCCGTCTATACGAACGTGTCGAATGACTCCGCTATGCAAGCCATAAACGAGCTCCTTATACAACACGAAGGAGCAATAAGTATGTACGGCTTCTCGATTCAGCAGTTGATGACACTCTTAAAGGAGTGCCTAAAGTGTTCAATCCTCAGGTGGTCCAGGAGGTGTTACGCACAATTGAGAGGGCTAGCAATGGGACAACGACTGGCACCAAGCCTTGCCATTGCATTCATGCCTAAGGTGGAAGCGCCAGTAATCTACTTCGGTTCGTTACTCTACTGTAGACATATAGATGACTGCTTGGTTATTTGTTCAACAGAAGAAGAAATTGACAGATGTTTCGAGTTGTTGAACCAACAGTCAGAGTATATTAAATTCACCCGAGAAAAACCAAAAAACTGGCTTCCATTTCTGAACGTGCAATTTAACCTATTAGAAAACGGCAACATGACGAAATGGTTTCGAAAGCCTAGTAGTAAGAAGATCGTAGTTCATTACCTCTCCTCTCTCACCACTCTCACACGAAAAGGGCGCATGCATCGAACAGCAACCAGCGTGTGCACGGGAAGAGAGCAGAGAGAGGGGTCCCGGAACTTGGCGCGGCAAGTAGCCATTTTTAATGGTTACGAAACTGTAGCTCGAGATACGTGCAGAGGAAATCACTGTTACCTCAACGATAATTCTAGCGACAATAAGGTCCCGTTTATACTGCCGTTCATTTCAAATGAAGCAGGTGCAGCTCTAAAACGCTGCTTAAGAAGGGCCGGTCTAGAGAATTCGGTAACAATAATTGAAATGCCACCGTGTAATTTAAGACGCCAGATAGTTCGTAACCGCCTATACAACCATCTATGTGCAACGCAAAATTGCATAATTTACCCCAATGGTGACTGCATGAGTTCGGGTACAGTCTATCTGATCTCTTGTAAAGCGTGAGGGGACGAATACGTTAGCGAAACGGGTAAACCACTTTGGGACCGTATAAAAGAACACCTAGTCGGCAAACGTAAACCAAATACTCCACTAGGCGCGCATGGGACGCAGAGACATAACGGAGAACATTTTGAAGAAGAAGGGTGCGATCCTCGCGCAAGAATCGAGAACACATGCGCACAAAACTCTAGAGACATTCTGGATTAATTCCAAGAATCCGAAAATGAACCGCAGGGAGGAGTGCCTCATTATCACGCGTGATATTGGGCAATATATAAACCGGTTATTTTGATGAAATGGGCACAATACGATTCCGTGTGAACTCTGTGCGGTTGGTCTCCACGTGACATATTTAGTAGAAGGCTCATAGAAAGCGGTGAGTGTGCAAAGACTCTGTGTTCAATGTGGTTGAAATTTTGTTTCAGTATTTACTCTGTTTGGTTATGGAGATGTTTGGCCGTGTGGATTTTACCTTTCCAGGCTCTGAGAAAGTCGAAATCCGCCGTAACGTCAGCATGTTCGTGAATAAAGAAATACAGTCAGAAGTGTTGGTAGAGTTGTATTGAAGTGTATAGCCATAACAACTTTGAGTTTTTTATTCAATTTCGAAGTAGTGGAGATGTCCAAATGCCAAGAACGGCCTTGTAGGGATAATGCGGTAAAATGAGTTCTGTTGTTTTTGTCCATTTGCTAGTTCTACAAGCCGTTCAGGGGATTGCGATCTCATTGATGATGAACGTGGTGAGCAACATCGGAACTACAGTGACGATGTACGAGTGAATGATATGCTCAAAATATCCAAGCATTAACGAATCGACGCTTCCATCGGGCTGTAGACGCAGAAGAATCACGGTGATTTTTCCAATTTTATGCAACGAGACCGAGAAACTAACCGTCATGACTACGACTTCATCAGAAAAGAAGAGGACGAATTAGAACATTCATAATTCATCACGCTGATACTTCAACATTGAATTCTAGCGGCACAATCACCTAACCAGCTCCGTGGCGGACATATTCGATCTCTGCTGAATATGCTTAGAACAAAATTTTTTGAATAGAATGACACGCTGCCGACTACTTTAAAATGAACTATCGGTTCCTAGTTAGCACCATTCCTGCGAAACATATTTCTTGAAGTCTGTCGAGTTTTTCTTCCATCGATGCTGAAGACGCGGTCATAAGGAACCATTTTTTCCTTTGCTACATTTACATTTTTGTCATTATTTGCAAAAATTTCTTAGCAGAAGCGGTTCTGGAACGTAGTGGTTTGCTAAATTCATACAGTAATCAGAAAACAGTGACATATGCTTGTCACCGGTTTAGTCATCTCTGGAACATTACGATTTGAGGGCGCAAATATTTCATTACTTTGAAGGCAAAAAAAGTATGCTTTGACCAAACTTTGCGAACGGATTTCGTTAACACAGCACGATTGATGCTCCATGCGTTTTCCTACATTTCCTTGAGTAAACACTTTGGATGAGCACAACAGTTTCTTTTCGTATACTTATTTTGCATTACTACTTCGTATTGCAGGACTCCCACTCTTTAACTTAGCAATTTTGCCAACCTGCTACTTGAGGACGAAATTCATTCAGAGAATGGGAGCTTTTGCGCTGGAATTGTGGCAGCTGCGAATCAAAAAGAAGAGTTGCTCGTTTTCAAAGATAAGATGAAAATTGCGCAGCATGTGTTCTGGGCTATATTCAATTTGTAAGACAGTCTTCTGGTTGAGCACACTTGTTCTTAACAGTACGTCACAACCATGAGACAAGAGTCAGAGTAGAAAAACGTGATTGCAACATATGTAACCCATACAACCTCGCAGTGTCAGTTCAAATGAAGCATTGGGATGCCATTTAACATTTTTAGCTTAAACAGTAAAAGGATAAAGTGTTTGGCTCCGGTCAAGCTCTAAGAGATACGACACCCGTTCAACTTCATCTAACATCGTTGAGCTAACTGAATGAATATCCGGCGCATATAATGACTTCCAAAGACCGTTGCATCGAGTCACTCCTTAGTCCTTAAAATAAAATATCTATTTGCACTTCCTGTATTATTCGTTCACAGAAAGCACTCAGTTTCCCAATACAGGTTTCCTTTTTTCGATGAAAACTTTAAACACTGCAACACTAGTACTAAACATACTACTTTCTACGTTTAATTATGACCTTAGTGCTGGGAAGGGACGACGGGAAATTTTTGAGAATTGCCTTTTATAAACACAAAGCAAGGAACCTAATTCTTATGCCCAACAATTGAAATGTTAATAAAACTGAGCTCTAGATTGTTGCAGAATATGGTCCCTTTTTTGAAATACCAAAAGTATAGCGCAATAATGAGTTCCAAAGCATGCATGGAGAATTCACAATGTTTACCTTTATTTTCTCCCTTCTATTGTTTTTATGGCAGTGTATTAAGCGAAATACAACCACAATATTGCTCAGATATTTGCGAAACTCCGGACCGCAGGTGTCTGCGGAGAGGAACGAACGCGCTATTGTCCTTTCCGTGGAGTAACGCGTTCAACACCACACCATGCCTGTTCCGTCAGCAATCACCCGTCAAGAGGTTTGAGCTTGGGTAAGTGTCAATACAACAACATTCGAAAACAAATGAGCTATTTAACCTTTGTTTTTTTTACTACCATAGTTATGGTTGCCGTTAATCACTGATGCTATCCGAAGTGAATTGAAAGACAAACTTACTCGTGTACTCATTTCTAATGTCACAAATTTGTGTTCTACTAGAGGGCTTTGGAAATCTTGGATCTGCGCATCCACATCGATTGATAATTCGTTTTTGATAGCAATTACGGTAGCATCCCTAAAACAATTCTTATTAAAATATCACCTTGTGGTCAATGGAAATGTAACTTATCTCTGGCTCATAACTGTAACCTCTATAGATGTATCCCAATGGCAGAGATGTGTTCGAATCGAAACAACCACCATCTTCAAGTCGATTTACTTTCTTCTTAAATGATTTGCATATTTTCGGAATCAACATCACGATTAAATCTCTCACTTACTAATGATATACCAAAAGCAGATACAGTTCCAGTTGGTGCAGAGTATCCGAAAGTATCCGGGAAAGGACATTGTTTTTGGCCATGAATAGTGATCCGAACTCCAGTAGCTTCTGTTGTGGGTAAGTAGTCGGAAGTGTTAACGAACATCATTAACCGTAAACCTGAAAGTAGCTGCTTTACCGGGAACGATTAGGCTCTCACTAGAGACATTAGGGTATTCACGATGAAGGTGGATTTTCACCAACATACGGCAATTTTTTCATAACACAGTACTGAGGAATTTGAGAATTTTACCAACTTAGGGAAGAGACTTTGCTCTATCTCTTTAAATACATCTACATCTTTTATAAAGTATTCCTTTAATTCCGAAATGGTTTCGGATTGAGACATTGGTAGCAAATCAAACACAGAAGCAAGCGTCGACCTCTTGAGTACCTACATATCCTACTGGGCGAAATCCCGTTTTCTCGAGTGCATAGGTGCACGAAACACGAGCACTAGTGCAAAAGGCGAGCAAAAAAAAACGCGTCTTCGGATCTCCAGATAAGCAGAAATTTGGTTTAGCAAAATAAAAAGTCTCTTATCTTATGAGCGAAATATCTGTGCAACCCAGAATTTTTTATTCCAAACCATAAAGTTCACTAAGGTGTGAGATACGTTGCTTTAAATTTGAAAGCTGCTACTGTTTTCTAACCAAACGACTCCGTATGGGGTCACATGGTCGCATATTAATAAAAAACAATTTTCAGCCAAAAATTTAATGATCCTGGTCCACAAAAAACACGTGAGACAGGTGGGTGGGAAAGCTGAGCACGAAAAAGTTGCCAAAATCTGGAAGGCACACCGTGACCACCTGTACTGTCCACACATCCACCAAAAGCTTTTTTAGTAAGCCGATAGTGGGAGGCAATTCAGTGAACAGGTGCTGTCCGAAAAGCAAAGACGCCAATCACATCACCATTTACGACATCCAGGATAAACAAGAGAAGAGAAATCGAGAGAGGAACTGGTGAGCATTCTTCTCAATACGAACCTGACCATGAACATCAGTTCCTTTGAAGAATCACTAATCCGAACAGCAAAGCTGTGATTAGAAAGATGTCAACCAATCACACTTTTGACAGACTTTATCAGCACGTCGTATTAAAAGGTTACAGATATTGCAATTTAGAGACGGACATTTAGAGATAACATTTACTAAAGAAGGCCAGCAAAGGTGATGCCGTCTACAAGGTCATCACCGACTACTTCAATGCCAAGACTAGCTTCAAAATCATAAGTGAAATATTCCACATTATGACCCACGAACCAGAAAAGAGAAAAAAAAATAGCGGTAAAAAACTTTCTGGGCTTATCAAGGATACCGATGACATTAAATAAATACGGCTAATATCGCTTGTGGCACTATCGCCTGTGGCACTCAATCTTTTACCCACAACGAAAGAATGCGCCAAGCTACTTGGCACGTTCACCACTGAGCAGATTCCGGGATCGTTATTGTGAAATGCATTAAAAAGGCTTATAAAACTTCGATCAAGCATAAATGATAGCAGAATTATTTTATATTCATTAAAAAAGTTCTGACTTAGACGCCGTTGTGCTCGTTGGTACCGTCAGACGACACACTACTACTTACCGTAGCTTGGCCCAGCACGACTGCTCGCTAGTACTCTGCTCGGATCGGCGTTGAATGTATAGCAGTTTCCAAATTCCGGATCAATATGAAGCCTGTAATTTTATTTATTCAATGTTGGAAATAATAGCATAAGATTTGTAAACAGAAAGGAAATAATATATCTAGCTATCATTATGCAGTGAGAATTGAGTAAGAAACAACAACAAATTACTTGAATTCTCTCTCTATGTCGCACTGCATACTGTTGAACGAGCATTGTTTGATGAGTTCTGATTTACCATATCCCAATGCAGCTCGTCGTTGTGGCGGTAGTGCTGACATCTTCAAGATTAACCTGCAAAAAGATCGTTCTTCATAAAATAATTTTTTGACTTTTATAAGTTATTGATTCAACTTGACAAAAAAGCCAATTAATCTCTGGCACTTTGATTACTTCACTGAGATACAATAAAGTGTCTTTCTTTTCATGGTCGAATAGACGAACTATAGCATATATAGTGGATTATGTGCCTAATCAAGTTCTTCGCCTTCGGTAATGTCGAAAGATATGGACGGTGAATGTCAAAAACGGCATCTCGATCAACACAACTGAGATTGTTCGTAATACTTAAGTTTATTTTGTAAAAGTTTCTGAGGTGTCGGCCGTTGAAAGCAGACGAAAGTTATGTAAAGGAATCCGATTAATTGGACTGCTTTATGTTTAACGAAATTTTATAGACCTCAGAAGTTTAACCGGGTTCAAATTAAACAGCGGAACCGGTGGAAAACCTGTTAGGTAAATTGATTATGTCTTTTAGAGAAGCAGCCTTGGGTGCGATTGATGATGACATCGAAGTACAACCATGGATGATGGAGTGATGTCTATGCATTACTCAACGAAGATGATTTCTTTTTTAAATGACAAGCGAGATGGTCATTAGAGGCGGTCTAATATTTATAAAGGTGGAAAACAAAAGTTTAAAAAATTTCGGAACTGGAATGGAATGATATAAAGGTATAGCAGACGTCCTCCCAACGGTTTACCGCCTCATCGTAGCTGGTAGGTGTTCCTAGGTGTCGAGCTGCGATGTACAACGGGTGATCCATCCACCCAGCAGAATCTCCCAAGCTGAGAAGGAGTCCAGCGTTTCCATTAGGAAGCCTAATTAAGAGTAAACAAATACCAGAATCCACCACCGTCCTGGTATCAAACTAGTCGCATAGCATAGAGGCAAATCTCCCTATGAGGCACAAGAGCGGTGACCGCCTGTGGTGGTGATGACCTGGGACGAACTTTGACTAGGCTGACCTGGGGACTCCGGGGAACCACAGTAGCTAAACCAGCAAAACTCCGAAAAATAGATATTATGCGGTGGTCGCACAACCAGTAAGGACGGGACATCCAAGTTTCCAAGTAAGCAAGCACAGCAGACATAGAAGGGACTGGCAGGTCAAAAAACGGTGTTAGATATGAAGTATGCTTTTTTTGAAGCTTTACACAGTCAGTGGTGAGTAGAAAATCTAACGTTCCGGTTAAGCCGAAATGGAGAATCTGGGATTGTTGTTCAGATCAAAAAGAACAATAGAAACGTGTTCCAGGCACTTCCAGGTATGTACTAGGTATTGCGAATACCGAAACACTGTTAAGAAAAACCCACACCTCTTGCAAAATTTCTGAAAGAATCAGTAGTCTATGACTGACAAAGAAGTTGCAAATCCACTGAGAACAATAACGGAATAGAAATTAACAACGTCAGACGAGAAAATTTAAAGTGAAGAAATCTGGTAGGTTACTCAGGGTGTATGAACACGATATAGTTGACCACGTCCTTCAACGGAATATTGTAAAAATGCTTGGCGAACGCCCATCATTACGCTTATAATTCGTGGGTTCTGCGATGCCGCGAATAGAGTCGAACGCTTTGTGTTTTCTAAAGAGAAAAAATGATCAATGCCAAACCGTTTGTCTTTTATTCTTACCAATAACACACGCACGGTTACTAGATCGACCTTTTGTCGGCCCACTACTTCGAAGCTGCTAGAACTACACAAAGCTTGCCTGAGAAAGCTTCTTCTAGTTAGCGTTCCAAGCACCAAGGTGCGCAATTTATGCGACAACTGGCCACATAACGAGATATATAAGCAAACAAATTTAATAATAAATAGAGGTGGATAGCGCAATGGCAGTGATGTCGATGATCACGAGCATGGTTCTGATTTATTCCCGCTCCTGGCTCACTAACCCTCTCATCCCTTTGGTCGGGAAATTGCTACCGTACTTGTCTAGGAAGAAACCACTCTTTGCACACCAAATGGGAAAGGTCTTCTACCTCGACTATCTCAGCACTTCAGGGAGAATTGGCTCGGTCAGCATTCTATGGCATTCGTGTTGAAAGAGAAATCCTCAAGCGGCGGCCGAAACAAACCACACGTAAAAATTGGAAGACCTTCGTGAATAAAGGACATGTGAAAACAAATCGAATGTGAGAAGTGCCGAAATCCACGCAGTAAACGCGAAAACGGTTTGTATGAAATAAAAAATAAAAAAAACGAGTATAACAATAGGTATTCAGTTGTAACCTTAGCGTTCTCTTGTACTTACTCCTCCTTTGCTCGTGTCGTGATTGCAACCTGGTCGGTCATGTTGCCATAACCGAGTTCTTTGAGATGGTTGAGAAAGTCATTTCGGAACGGGTTGTCCATTGGTGGAACAACTCGGCCTCGAAACTCCCATACACGTCTAAGTCGCTCCTCACCTTTGAGTATGCAATAGCCCATATTCTGGAAAAGAAAAAAAAAACTAATTTACGGCGAAGTTTCTTGCAATATTCCTCATTTCATTATCACGTGCTTCACATATAATCCTTTACCCCATTATCTACTTGTAATTCGATAAAACCATTTTCCAACGGTAGGGTGCTCAAGGGTTGGTTATCGAGTCATGCAAGAGCGAATGTAGGTTTTATTCGCTGAATGCCATCGCAAGACGTTTCCAGGTTTAGGATGAGACTGGTTTTCCGATCACAGACAATGATTTCTCGACCGCTAAAAAATTTCAAATGTTCAAAGTTTATTTGCAAAACAGATTTTACTTCCTAGCAATTTCTACATAAACATGTCCTATGCAGTGTCCTCCCTAGAATTGAGGCTTCTAAAAATTGCTAAGGAGGTATAGGCTTTTAAAATTTTTAACGCAACAGCGGCCATAATAAATATAAACGACACATTAGGGAACATTTTGCTGTCTTACATGACGAAGTGGTACTTATTCTTTTGCTTTCATCTTGGAAAAATGGGTTTCAAAGCCATAAAATAAAAAAATGTGCGATGTAGACGACACCATAAAACCAGAATTTCGTTATACTAAAGCAAGAGAAGCAGCCTGGATGAATTCCAAGGATTCAGAAATAGCCCGCAGCGAGGATTGCTTTATTATCAGGCGAAATCTCGTACAATATCTCAGACAAATATTTAAACGTGAGAGGTGCTCTTTATCCATTAAGGTGAACTCTATACGGTTGGTCTTTATGTGCAATACTTAGCAAAGGAATCGTGGAAAACGGTGAATGTGTAACAAAATTGTTTTTTCATCTAATGCGATCGAAAATTTTGGATTGTGATCTTTCTGTTGGGTTTATAGAGGTGTTATTATAGTGGTTATTTAGTAGTGGATTGTGGTCAGTCAAGTTTTCATAAGCTCTGAAGGAGACGAAACATTCCAGGAACGTTAGCTGTTGTGCATAAATGGTATATAATAACAACATCATGTGTGCTTATCGAGAAAATAACGAAATGTGTATCAATTAGGCCAACAGAAAGTCAGTCTTGGAAATTGAAACAAGGGGACTTTCGTAATGCAAGCAAAGATATAGAGACTCGTAGTAGTTTCACTGAAACTGATAAAATTCGCAATGAGCTGAGATATCTTGACTAAAGTCGAAAGCTGCAATCATTTTGTTATCGTATTAAAAACTGTTCTCCTATTTGTATCGTATGACTCCTATAAAAGTCACATCTTGGCTTATTTCTTAATGGATTTACTACCTGGTTGTACGCCATCGCGAGTCATTGTAATAATAAGATATGCATTCAACCACCTCCAAACGATGCTTAATAAAGTCGAATACCTAGCACATCTCTCGGGGTATGATCAACACCGCGAGCTTTATCCTTTGTGCTTTATCGTTATCACGGTAAGTGAAGTGTGGCTGACCTTTGACCCTAAGTGGCGACCTTGCTGAAGCAATGCATAGCTCGACCTATCTATAATTAGCGTGTTAATGATTTAGTGAGTTTCTGAACGCTTTGCGAAATTTGGATTCCATTTCAAATCTCTTGTTACGTGTCTTATTAGAGAATACTGTCTATTTGCTGCTTTGTTGACGAAACTTACCTATAAATAGTTTTCATTGCAGTTCTTACTTACCAGTTGACATAGACAAGGTATCGAATCTGTTCCTATTGTGTTCGGCATATTACAGTACCCTATATCATTGCATTCTGGACATACTAACTCCGTCCAAGTTCTGAAAAGTGAGTATCTTTTTGGTCCCTTGGTGCCAATTAAGGACTATTTTTTGGCTGGTTTAAAAGCTGAATTATTTCGAAATTGATAGCGCTTTCCAAGCATTCCTCTAGGATTCATCGCCCATGCTATAAATTCACTAGCTTGTTCGCGTTCATTTTTTTCGAGGATAATTAGTAGGCAACAACTTGAATCGAAACGGGATAAATCTAAATGCCATTTTACATTTGCTATGCTCGTTTAAGACGATATTGTTTACAGTATATTGTAAGGATAGCAATATGTGCAACTGAGATGACGACCATAAATTATTTAGAGTAGAGATTCCAATAAAATTTCAGTGTGCTCATCAATTTTAAAGTCATAAGCAAAGACATTTCAAGAAACAAATCAGTCGCAAAAGAACGAATATTTAAGGGTTTAAGTGGAAACCAGGACTTAAATAAAAGCTTTCAGGGGAACGTGTTAAGGGGACGTGCCAATTTCGTGACGATTCGTTCCACATCAATGTTTCGTTAGCATGAATCTTTTACAGTGGTAGTCTAAACAACTGCAAGGCAAAAACAAAGGTTTTCTAAAATTTTCCGTTTAATTTAATCCAAGATTTACTTGGTACCGTAGCACGGCCAAACGCTACCGTCACGACGATCGTAGTTGCAAATACAGGCACTGGTGATATTCGGTGGAACGGCATCGGATCCAACACATTCGACCGTCAGACCACGTCCACAGTCACATGCCGAATACACGGCTTCATATTGCACGAAACGATAATTACCTATAAAGTCTGCCTTCTTTTTCGGTTTGTTATTTCTTCATCTTTACTTTACATTATGCTGTATTTTTTTCGCACTGCCACAATGTCTCTGCGTCGACAGCGACGACTACTTGCTGGCACTAATTCAGTCTTCCCTGGGCCTCCTTAGGAAGAACGTCAAATTTTTCTACGAGCATTTAGTTCTTACGTTTGCTGAATCTCTTATGTACATCGCCGTTTGACCTGCACAAAGTTATGGCGAACCGAACCCTTCATGCAGTGGACTTGAGACGTAGGCAAATTCACTGGATGAAATGTTTCTTGCACTGCACTGACTTAAGGTTTCTTTATGTACATAAGCATTAATGTTCCTCATATCACCGAAAGACGACAACAAAAGAACTTTATCTCTTCCCTTTGGGAGCATGCGATATTCGCTGTTCTTACAGAAATCAATGGCAATAAGAAATAAGCGATTCACATAAGAAGCATGATGCACTTGGCGCTTCCCGGGTGAGCAGTGCTTCAACCACGCAAGCCCGAGGGCACGCGACACAGAAACTAATAAAGATTTTAATTGATTTTAACTCGACTGACTGCCACTATTTACAAATCAAAAAGTGGCGAAGTCGAATAGTGGGTTAAAAATTAGCGACAAAGGAAATAGAGGGATTTATAGACTGTTTTGCTTCCAGGAATACTAAAAGTAAGACTGATCTGTTGTAATACAAGTGATTGTAACAATTTTGCTCAGATTTTTAGCATTTGAGTGAACAAAATATAACCCTCGATTCGATGGGCAAATTTCCTCACCGGTTATAGCGTTTCGTTTTTTCCTTTCACGAATTCTCTCATGATTAGCAGTGTTACTATATGTGACAGCTTGATGAAATGCATCTAACTGAAAATAGATTAAGATATGACATAACAACGATTATATTTCTTATGAGAAGAACGAATAGCAGCAATGAAGCAACCGTTTCACTGATTTCCTGAACACTTCGTGCTAGATGATTTTTGAACGGGTTCAAATTACAAACGGTTATGGCGGGAAATGGAGCCGATTCGAATTCTAACTAAAATCACACATATTCGTTGACCTACATTTTATGTATGAAGCGAAAAATGCCGCTTACCTCAACGTTAACTATTTTCTCTTTTTTCTGATACTTTTCAAACACAAGCATACATTGTGTGCAGAAACAAATAAGTGACACTGTACTAAAAATGATCCATAAAATTCGAACTGAAAACCGTGAAGTGCTGAGAATCTGGAAATGAAAGTGATAACTTCTAAGAAAAGCGAATGCTAATTTATTTAATAGACTATAAAAAACGATTTACAGAGAACTGAGTGCTTAGAAGTAGTGTTTTTCCACTATAATTTCAATCTTAGGCTTTTTATTTACTGCCTATTCTTCTTAACGGCACGGTATGTTGCGAAATATAACTACTATAATGCTGAGATATTTGCAAAACTCCGGACCGCAGGTGTCTGCGGTGGGGAACGAACGCGCTATTGTCCTTTCCGGGGCGTAACGCGTTCATCACCACACCATGCTGATCCTTCGTTTCGCATGTCTCTCAGCTAGTTCTGTCTGTGGTCTGGAGTTTTGAAATATCACAGCATTATAGTAACTATAATCTCAGTTGTTGCTGAAAATTTGAAAGTTTTGTGTTGAAACTTAGTCACTGAAAATAAAGACAACATGTTTCCGATTCTTTGATAATCTATGAAATTTTGCAGTATTCATATTTTAAAAAAATTTTAGGCGAAATTGTAATGTTTGTTTTTTCATTTCTTATCTCTTAAGTTTTCTTAAGTTTTCCTCAAGTTTTACGACTCGTCTTTCGCATCCTGTGTGTGGATCGCAGCACTACTCACATTCGATTTGTTTCCTCACATTCATCAGCCACTAAGGCCTTCGAACTTTTACGTGTGGCTTCGTGTGCTGCTTGACGACTTTTACTTTCAACACGAATGTCGTAGAATGCTGGTCGATCAATTCTACCTGGAGTCCTGAGATAGCCGGGCTGGTGCATTCACAATTGGATTACAGAGAGTGATCTTTTCTCAAATAAGTCCGCTACCATTCTTCTTATTCCGGTAGGATGAGAGGCTTGGTTGGCCCAGAGCTGAATCGAACTAGTACCATGCTCGCGATGACAAACATCACTATAACTGTGCCATCTGCCCGTTTTTTTAGAAGAATACTGCTTCTAATTCATTCTTTTCTGTTCTATGATGGTGTGCAATAACCAGACCGTGTTCAAAAGCTCTTTAACGTACTGTTTCCATCTACCTATTTTTCTTCTGTACTAATTTTAAACAAAGAGTAGAGGGCAGGAAAGTAACGCTCCACTTTATTCATTTACTACTGTAATTTTATCAGAAGCCATCTCCATGAAAAGAAGTTCCGATTTCAACTGCAACGTTCCAGGCCCAAATGACGTAAATGGAGTCGGAAATACCTTTTATTTTCGTGATTCTATGCGCTGCAAATATGCTTACAGATAATTATTTTTCTATAAAAAAGATAAAATTTTTTATATAGTAACAATTTTAGCGGAAGAGATAACTGGTACTACGGCAATATTTGTATGAAATTCAATCAACACTAGTAAGATGACAGCGATGCAGTATACACTTCTTGCTCGTGGTGGGAGAGTTTAGTGTCGAAGTGTTTCAATAAAGAGAGACAGGTGAAACAAAGGACCCGATTGGTGTGGTGGTAAACGCGTTAACCATCGGAAAGGACAATGGCGCGTTTCTTCTACACCGCAAGCACCTGCGGTTCGGAGTTTTGCAAATATCTCAGCAAACACCTTGTGGCTGTGTTTCAATAGATTTTTAACAGCAACTTTCCGAAAAATGTCTTACTGACGAAAGAATTGTCACAAAAAAATCGACATTGTCTCTTCAGAATTAAATTGTTATCGTAATACATTTTTATCGTTGCCGTAGTTTCAGATGTCCTAGTGGATTTAATCTAAAATGCGTAGAATTATCGTATCGTCCGCTTAGAATGGAAATAATTAAGCAAGAAAGGTACGCATAAAAGACAAATTAAGCACAAATGTAACAAATTGGTGAAATAACAACGAGAAAATAATTGGAAAGCAACGCTTTACACTATATGGGCAAGCTTTTCTTTAATATTCATTCTATCCGAACAACTTCTGGAATTTTGGATTTGTTGAGGATAAACAGGGTGGATCCGCCCTGATTCCAATTGGTAGGCATACTCAATAGAATTATGGCTTTAGAGAGTTTTTTAGAGTTTGAAGTTTTTTACCATAGGTATGCCATGAGCAGTAGTCGTTTCAATGAACCTTAAAATTGTACTTTTCAGCGGCGCATTTCGAAAACTTGACAGGTTCATCGATGATCCGAACTCCTGAAACTAAATCTACCATACCGTTTTTGCCTAAATAACTCGCAAAAAAACCAAAACAAGCTAGACCTTTGAGTACTGGAATATTTTATCTCGTATTCGTCGTATATGAGAAGGTTGTCGTTCCGATGTCGTTGGGTGCACTGGTTTTAGTAAAAATGGATAAGGAACAAAATTTGATGTTGCGACGTCGTGGGAGGATGGGTCGGATGCTTCGCTATCAGCTGCGTAGACTTGCTTCTGAGGTGGAAACGAACTGGATTGGTATCGTTGTGACTGGTGAGGAAAATATGGTCTATAAGACATCGATTCCATGTTGACCTCGTCGTCATCAGCTGGTAAGAGTTTTCTTGTCGGAGAATTTTCGGACGCAGAATATATCAGCGACATCTTCCTGAATGTATATACATATCAAAATATCGTTAGTGTAGTTTTTTGGAATGGTTTAGGCGAAGATTAAGGTGGTCGACAAAGACGTTCGAATGCGAACCTCCGGCAGAACCAGTGGGAGGAGTCGCCTGTTGCGTGCAGGCGTTGCTTTGAACAGAAATCTTTTCCATTTTAGTCACTCAACTATTTGCATGCAAATGAGCACGCTTAAAGATCTGGTGTTTGGATTGATTTTTTTTTACTACATTCCCTCAAAAGTTAGACATCATTCTGGTGAAGCCGTTGTAAAGTTAAGCCCGATGTCAAATCTTCATCGTGGATTGTGATTTTTTTCTTAAATGCTAGCCAAGGAAACCAGCATTTTTGTTTTACAGCCACAAAGGTGGTGAGATATGAGCAAAGCCGGGAAGTTGACTTGGACTTTGGACATGTGATTACCCCTACCGGTGGTTTACGTGGAATCCACCACATCAATCAAAATTCCTGCGATAAAATTATCTTAACCATGCTCATCCTACAAGTGCTATCAGCAGCCGCTCATCAACGGGAATGATTAGGAAAGGATAAATCGGCGAAGAACACAGTACAGCAGAAAGCGAGGTCGAAATAACAATATCATCTTTGTATTTCATGAGACACCTTGCGAAGAATGAAGAGTGGGTAGTAAGTAAAAAGGTGGACATCATTGTTTTTGTTTTAGCCCTTGAAGCTGAAAGTGTCCGCTTGTTGAACAAAATTTTATGTGGTGATGCTTTCAGTATGAACTTTTGATAACAAAAACATTGATCTCAGTGCTTGGTTAATTATGGGTTTCGTGGTTTCATGAATTAAATAAATGGTTGCAACCGTCCATCAGCTGATGAAACAGTTAGTTTTTTTTAATAATTTTCAATGTTCCTTCTATTCCATCCAATTCGACTTGATGCGTCTGCTAAAAAATGCACACTGCTAGATGAAATTAGTAAGGAGGCCATACTCGAATAACAATGGCTCTGAAGAGGTCCATAGCTAAGAAGCGCTGGTTAGAGCAAAGAAAGTGTAGTGGATGCCGCGATTAAAAAAGTTATTGATTAGTCGGTTAATGAATCAATCATTTAATCAAAGAACTAACCATTTGCCGTCTTCTTTATGAGCGCACAAGAGGTGGTTACCATAATGTTTGTGCAATAAGGATGACTTTTCGTCGAATTTCGCTTTCTTCAGAGCCTAGAACGCTCAAGATAATTGCAGACTATTCACCCAAATACCTCTATAACCCCCCCCCACCCAAAAAAAAATGACGAAACGTAGATACCAATGAAGTTGATAACGAAATTGCTTCACGCACTCATCGCCTTCTATAAGTGTTCGATTGTGTTTTCCACGTGGCGAACAATCGCACCGAGTTCTCATGGATGGGTAATGTGGCGCTATCACTTCAAAACAGCAATCCGAGATATTGTTTCAGAACATGTCTGTTAACGAGGCATTCCTCCCTGCAGTACATTCCTAGAGTTTTGCAAATCATCCGGAATGCTTTAAAAGTTTTGCGCGCTGAAACTTTCGATTTTTGTGCGAGAATGGCGACTTCTACTTCAAAATCTTCGTAGTCTGTCATAGAACCGAGGACTATGCATTTCACGTTACGACAACAGTGAAATGCAGAGGAACTGCCCAGAAAATTTGCTGAAAAACAACTATACCGATATGTCACTTGACTTTTGAATAAACGCCTAATTGTTTTCGAAATTATTTTAAGAAATGAAGTATCATCCGTTGTCGTTCATAGTTCAGCATTCAGCATCCAGTAGCAGCGATAACTACGATAGTCCATTGAACTGTGAAAGGAGAGAATAAGTCAGCCTCAACATTGAGGACCTTCCACCTCTTCAACTTCGAAAATGCACACAGATGAGATGATAGCAATTAAGCAGGTCCCATTCCTTGTCAGTGGACGGTTAAAAAGGAAGATCGAAAGTATTCCTCATTCAAAAAACATTGAAATTTTTAAATTTAACCGATCAATTAATCAATTGACTAATAAAAAATTTTTATCGATGATTTTTTATTCTATTTTATTAACTAACGGGCGAACAGCACGGTGGTAGTGATGCCGTTCATTACGAGCACGCTGCTTGTTCGATCCCGGACCAGGCTACAAAGTCTCTCAACGCCTTTGAGGTCGAAGGATTGGCACTGGATTAGTCGGGGTAGAAAATAACTCTGCATTACAAATGAGGATGATCCAGCCTATCTCAGCTCTCTAGGGAGAGTCCATCTCACCAGCAATGACGACGACGTTCATGATGAAATTAAAATGGTCAAGCGGCAGCCGGAACTGCGCTTAAAAGTTGGAAGACTGTGTATAATGGATGCGAGAAAACGAATCGAATGTGGGAAGTGCTGGGATTAGCACATAGTAGACGTAAAGACGTGTAATACAAAAAAAAATAAAAATAATTTGTTAACTACGTAGCATTCACTCACTACACAGAGTCTCACTAATCTGATCTTTATCTTCTGATCTGAAGCTGATCACTTTATGGGTACTGCAGTTCTTGCCTTTGCATAAAATTAAGATTTCTACAAACTTACTGATTGGAAGTATTGATAGCCTTTGCTTACTTGTTAGGCGGTACCTTCATTCTTCGCTTTTTCATTTGCAATCGTTGCTCATGTTGAAAGCATTTTGTTTCAAGCTCGATGATGTCTACATATATCACGCACTGACCGATGACTCTGTTCTAATCAAGAATACAGCAGTGCCCACCCCCCCCCCCCCCTTGTGAGCAGCCTGCTCACTTTCTATACGGTCTTCCTGAGGAACTGGACGCTGTTGGTGCCCACTATTCTGCCAACGTCTTTCTAATTGACCCACTCATATCTTTAACCCGTCAGGCTAAGTCAAAATTCCCAAGACCGACTTTCTATTAACTTCGGCACTGATTGGTAATTCGATGTTTTTCTTCAATAAGCAGACACAAGTTTGGTATTATAGAATTTATTAGGATACAATAGCTGACGTTTCGGCGGTTTCGCCTTCTTCAGACTCTGCAACGGTCAAACTGACATCCAATCTACTCAGCGAAACACTTTCATAACCCTAGCGGATAAAATTTAACAAATAAAAACACAATGGTGCTGAGTTATTTGCAAAACTCCGGACCGCCGGTATCTGCGGTGTGGAACTATTGTGGTTGTATTTCGCTGAGTACCCTCCCATAAAAATTATATAAGGCAGAAAATAAAAAGTGAACAAATGACAACGTTGCTGAGATA